CCCGGAGCCGGTCCTCGAGGCCAAGGACCGGCTCGAGGAACACATCACTGATACACACACATAGTCAAGCAAGTTCCGTGTGTCTTCAACAGCCCTCACCCTTTAGGTTGGACACACCCATGTATTAGAATCCCAATGAGAAATAAATGAGAGGGCGAGCGGGGAGATCCTTGGGTGATGTGCAGAGAACCGAAACCTAACGCTTCTCCTCGTTCCCCTCTCGAGTGATTGGTACCAGAATCCAGCGTGTCCTCTCCTCATTGGGTCTTTATTATGAATGTCTAATTGATAACTCTGACAGTAACATAATGACACAACTGCTGTGTTTAATAAATGAGCAACAGTACATAAACTTGCCTCGCAATCCAACTTACCTGCTGCTCTGTAAAGGATCTTGGGTTCAAAGAAAATGCAGGGATTCTTATCAGCAATGCAGGACAGAAGCAGCCCCTTGGCCTGCACTGGGCTACGAGGTACGACAACCTGCACACATAGATTGCATTGGTTTAAAGCCATGTTTAACACGAATAGTAATACAAAGAGTGATTCTGCAATTGTCATCCTGTTATTATAGCCACACTTTGCTCTTACAACCATAAATATAGTACACAGTGATGGACCTGTTAAACCCCCTTTACCACTACTTGCCTCATCAATTGTACTCAATTAGTGACATGGTTGCTTGTCTGTATTTTTTTGCTGCCTCCCGGCTTCTCCTGAATATAATTTGTATATTAAATGGTGGTCAACCGGTTAGCATGTCGGCCTCACAGTGCAGAGGTGCAGGGTTCGATTCCGGCTTCAACCTTCATGTGTGGAATATGCATGTTCTCTTCTTGCCTGCGTGTTTTCTCGGGGTACTCCGGTTTCCTCCCACATTCCGAAAACATGCGTGGTAGGTCAAAGGAGCACTTTAAATTGTCCCTATGTGTGAGTGTGAGCGCGCATGGTTGTTGGTCTGTGTGTGCCGTGCGATTGGCTGGCAACCGGTTCAGGGTGTCTCCCGCCCACTGCCCGAAGACAGCCATGATAGGCTCCAGCATGACCCTTGTGAGGATAAGCGGATAAGAAAATGGATGGATGGATGGTTGGATGAAATGGAAAAGTACAATAGGTTTTGTTTTCACTCAAGACCTTATCGTGGTCTAAGTCCACAGCAAGAAATGCTTTAACTTTGAGTCAGTGGTCAAATCCAGCTTGTAAACTTTTTTTTGTACATATCTGAATCCCATTTAGACTGCTTTGCAACCATACACTATATTTGTCATCCTGTCAATGTGTTTACAAGAGCAAGCTCAGTGTTGACAATGTGATTTGTTTGCTATGTTTGGCGCTTTTCATGACCCATTGTTGTAAAGAATTGTTATCAGAGAGTTTAATTCCTGCAAAGAATCAAGACAGCATGGGTGGAACCATTTTAAAGTTGTGTTCTGTATGACAAGAAGGAGCATGGAGGAAGGCAATCAAGTAGTCAATTAATTGCAAATATTTTGCTGAGGTCAATGCTTCAAATACCAGATGGGAATACCAAACGGGAAATGAAAAAAACAAATGTAAAACTTGTTTAGATTTTTTTTCTTTCCCATTGCCATTATGTCTACAAGTGAAGGGCAGGCATGAGAGAAATATATGCTTTTCTGCTTAGGTTCCTGCACCAGCGATCCAAACAGATAAGTGGAAGGGGGAACAATGTTTAAAAACAGAAACTTTTTAACGCAACTAATTTTACAATTCTATCAACCATCCCCAGTTTAAAGCAACCGCAGCTATGCTCTGGGCGCTCTTTTCTGCTGCAGTGAATGCCTCGTAAATGAGAAAAATTGTTTCTATTATTAAAATGTGATAGTGATACAGTGTCACTTGCATAACAATGTTTATTGACATTAGAGATAAAGTATTAAAAAGTTCTGATTCGGTCTTTTGTCCTTTGACTGATGGTTTTAACGCAGCTTTAAACTATTGTCAGACATGAGTGACAACTAAGGCAGTCATCTAATCTTGAGGAAAATCAAGGACCACAAATTGAGGCAAGCAAAGCCATTTGGCCTAGGTACATCGCAGTAAAATGAGTAGCTCATATATATCTACACAGTAGTGTCATGGAAATGGGGCTATAATGCATTGCCATGACTCTGTGTTTCCTTCTGGCATTAAAAGTGTGAACAGCATTTCAGGTCAAAGCAACAACAGAACAACGATGACTAAAGCTAATCAACAGAGTGGTTGAACTCAGGGTGTTGCTAACCCTCAGATGAAGCTGGCTGGGCTGATTGTATGCACAAAGATTAACATTTATCAGCGTTGACCTTTGTTGGGAGACAACATGTTTTCTGCTTTCAGTGATGGTTACTCAAAGTGGATCTAACGGTTTGCTGTAAACTATATAGTCATTCTTTGGCCGTGGTGAAATAAGACACTTTCATGATGATCACATGAATGTTAAGAGGATGCCAGACAATGACAGATTCTATTTTATCCTGTTACATCAATGTCATCAACACCATTTTTCAGGGTGTAATTCTTAGTGAACAACAATTTACGGTACAGTACATGCAGTTTTAGTCAGAAGTTTAAATATTGCTGGCAACGCGCAGAATCCCCGCACCTCCAAAACCTCGAAAACACTGCTACTATAGACAGTAAACAATTATGCTTTGTGAGGAAAAAAAAAAAAAAAAAACACTTTATATCAAACAAACCATGTCATTGCAACATTAACAGAAGTATTTGAAACTGACGTAAATCTAAAAGAAGCTAGGCAACACTAGAAGGAAAAACATAATAGGGGTGTTCACACGGCAAGATTTGCTCCAGTGCTACACCGGCGCTGCGCCAGTAGAGCGTTCACACGTGCAAATTTGCTCCGGCGTAGCCCCGGAAAACAGCTTACACCGGAGCAAATTTGATCCACCTCAGCGAGGTGGTTTAAAAATTTGCTCCAGAGCAAATGCTCGTTTGCGGGGCAGCACCGATGTAAAATGGTACGTGTGAATGCTACAATTTGCTCCGGAGCAAATGCTCGTTTGCGAGGGGGGAGTAGCCTCGCTACGCATGAGAAGAGTTGATTACGTACGGCGAGAATGCCTTGCTTTCGAGCTCTGTCGGACTTCCGTCATGTGTTTGTTTAATAACAAGACGTGGCTGGTAACAGTAGCAAGCACCTCTTGGGTTATACCATCTCAACTAGAACGGGGGGGGGGATAGTCCCCAAATGTCATTTTTTACATTTTTGCTTTTCTGAGTGTCACTGAAGTCATCGTTGATTTACGTTTTTGGGGGCGGTCACTCTTGAGCAGAAGGAATGGAGACCGAGAAGGAGAAGGACGTGCCTGAACAGTAGCTGCTTGAGTTGTGTATACGTTTTAAAAAGAACCAACACGACAGCTCATTTGTTTTCTGTCGTTTTGCTCCGCTGCAGAAACTGCCGTGTGAATGCAAGTGGAGCTGCACCGACGCTGCACCGGTGCTAATACGCTCAGGGGCTTTGTACGTGTGAACGCTCCACAAAATTTGCCCGGGTGCAAAATATATCGCAACAAAATACATCGGTGCGGCGCCGGAGCAAATGTGTGCCGTGTGAACACCCCTCATAAATGAGTGCACAATGATTACACTCAATTGAATTCACCCTTAACGGTCATGTAAATGAACATCTGTAAATGCTTTCTCGTTCCTACGGAACTTATCAAAGAGTGCATAGGATTCAAGTGTACGTAGGCACGAAATCGGGAGAAAAAAAAGCATACCAAAAAAAAATGTAGGTCATTTATCCTTGATAAGTCCCTCAATTTGGGAACATACAGGTACTGCCCTTGACATGGCCAAATCTATCCATACATGGTCAATGCAAGAGCAGTACATGAAAATGAATGAGCCATGCTTGCCAACACTTTGTGAAAGGTGAATCATGACGGGGGTGGGGGGAATGAACATCTAACAACAACCTCTGGTTGGGGCCACTGTGCTATTAAGGTAGTATGGAGCCCTATCCCAGGCAAAACGAAACATTAATCTATCTCTGAAATCTTAGACGGTGTACAAAAAGATGTTTGAGAATGGTCTGATAATCCAGCGGAGCAGGAAACAATGTCAGAGGTGGAGGCAGAGGAACGTCCATCTCAATCCTCCTGGAAATACCTGAAACTTCTGCTACTTAGTGAGTCCTCACAGAACATGTGTATGTTCCAGTGTTTACTATAAAACACCAAAACAACGGTCCTGTCAACATCTAAGACGTCCAGCACAAATCCATCCGTTCATTCTCCGTACCGCGGGCTTGAATAGGAGATCGGGGGGGCATAGACAAACGACCAGACACACTCAAAAACACACCTACGGACAATTTTGTGTCTTCAGTCAACCTACCATACATATTTTTGGAATGTGGGATGAAACTGGAGTACCCAGAGAAAACCTACACAGGCACAGGGAGACCATGCAAACTCCACAGTGGAAACACAACCTCTGCATTGTGAGGCGGACCGGCTAACCAGTTTATTCATTAATTACAATTGGTTTAAATGAATCCAACTATTACAAGCTACGATAGGCAACATCACATTTCAGTTAAAAGAGCAATTATAGGACCAGCTAGCAACACATTTTTGGCACCAACAGAAGAAAACTGCATGAACATGTGTGTGCAAGCCCGCGTGTGCAAAGAGAAATTTTAGAAATGATGAGGTGGAAAATAAATTATAAAACAGATGAAGATAAAAATTATAACTGGTAGTTTGTCTGAGAAATGTTACTTGTGTGGGTTATTTTCTTGACAGAAATGTATTGTTGTGGTCTCATTTGATTTTGGATGGCTTTAAAAAAAAAGCTTAGTTGAATAGAGCAGAGCGGTGACCACATCTGCAACTTGTAACTTGCTATTTTTCTCTGGTGGCGAGCTTCACTTGAGTGAAGCTTCATTTAAAATCGAATAGTGGTACAGAAAATGGCTGAACGGATATGACCTCTATGATCATGTGACAAAAAAATGATACAACATAGAAGGTGAAGAGTTCCGTTGAAGGCTGCTTGTGCTATTCTAGATTTACATCTGATTAAAGACAAAGTTTGATTGGATAACTCACAGTTCTTGTTTTCGGTCAAACAGTGACATTTTGTTGTCATTTTCTAAATATTATGACGTATTATAATCCATAATATAATCGGTACTAGAAGCATCTTCCTAAATATTTGAGGACAAGCTGAAACCGCAGGCCTTTGTAACTTACTCATGCTGACATGTCATCACCCTCCAGAGTGTTCCATGCTGGTATCAACATGGAGAATGGAGTGGAAGGAAAATGCACAAAAGAATCACTTCTCTGGGTTATTTATTAAAGGCCAATAATGACAGACTGGCAAGTGGCTTTTTTTTTTCAACTTTTACTGTGGTTCCCATTATTAGTGTGTTGCAACGGCTTATATAAAACAGATACTTCCAGAACATATGTAATGGATAATATAAACACTGCAGCACACTATGAGCACTGTGTGATGTACTGTATGAAGTAAGCACGCCACTTACTCAAATTTACAGCTGCACAGCAAGGCACTTTGTTTGCGCGCACTGTTGTCGGTAAATTGGGATGGTGTATGAGAAGCCTGCAATGTTAAGAATCATTTTCAATGAACCTCCAATCAGGAGGGTTTTCTTCCGTGAAAAATGAAAATCTAATACTGTATTTCATAACATTCAAATGAATACTGCTCCATACCTTTTAAATGCATTGCTTATTGCACTTTTTATTTACTACTCTTAAAACAGTTTTAATTCAGCAGTCACCCTGATTTCTCTACAAGGGTGCAGCTATGGAATATTTTCAGTATCCGAGTGTCCTATTGAAAATCCTATTGGATAATCCGGTATTTGGATAAAATAGATTTTTGCTTTGTTGAAAAACAATTGGGAACACACAACATAAAAGACATAGAACACGAATACAAGTCATTTCAAACGTAGTATTTCTGAAAAAATATAAGTCGTTAATTAAAGGAAGGCCTGTTTAATTTTACACGTGGCTTGTTTGGTAGTAATTTAATTAGTTTATCTTGGAAAAATACATAAGAGCGGAAAATAATGATATATTTCACTTTTATGGCAAGGTTTTCAAGATGAACATGTCCAGGCTAGGTCCAACGACATGAAACATGTGTGATTTACTGCTGGACAATAGACATTGTACCAGGAGGACACACAGAAAAACAATGCCATATTGCATTGCAAAAATGTACAAGGGGGTAACTAAAAATCGCAAAAAAGGCATAGCATGTTATTCCACAATTTTTACAAAAAGTGTACTTACACAAGTCTAGCCCCCGTGTGCACAAGAAGGCAGGCAGGCACGCACAACAACTGTTGATTTACAGTTGACATTAAAAACAAATGCCGTGCCAAGTATTTTTAACAAGTAAGAAGTGGGAGATGAGCTTCACCCCGCGAGGGATGATTTTGTTTCTCCCTTTGTGATCCCCGGCAGGCACAAGCAGCGGCGTTGTGGATGTTATTTCCATAACGCGATCGGAGACCGCAACAATATTAAAAAGTTCTCCAAAGCCCAAACTATTAAGTTAATTATATTCAAGGAAACAACAAATCATCATCAACAATAAACCAATTTATATGGTCTGCGTCTGTCAAAAAAAGACAATATGGACTTGTATATTGATACATGGGGTGCATTCCGATTCAAGAATGGTACATTTAATAGTGCAATGATTCGAAGTTTCCGACTTTGCGATTCAAATCCATTTTGGTCAAACTGATATCACAAAACCTTTTATAAGTGTTGTGTACCTCCAGTGTACTGGAGCACATTAGGCGCCAGTGCTCCATGATATTTTATACATCAGCTAAGAGTGAACCGCACGTTTGCTACAAGTGACGATTTGTTGATTGCTCAGTTAACTTGATTGTTTTTATTTTCATCTTCCTCACTCCATGGCGCCATTCTTAAATACATGTGACACCCCGTATGAAGCCACATTATAGTCAAGAGCATCCTGTACATGTCAACATTGCAATAAACTAGCAACAAATTCGGCAGTGGTCCTACAGCCCTAGGTAACATACAGTATGTGCGCTGTGACACACTCAAAGTGCATCCCTTGATCGTTGTAATTCAATGAAAGTTCCTTGAACAGTGAAAATCGGTAGAGCAAATTTTGACCTGAGGTACTCGAATTACTCAAGTACTTGTTTCAGCCCTACTCATACCTAAACACAGAATTCAACAGGTTTCACAAACCAATACACAGTCAAATGGAGGCATTTGAGAGAGCACGGCAAAGTTAAACATATGTCTGTCAAGTTTAAAACAGAAACAACAACTGTTACAAATATACAACAAAATGGAAATAGATTTAATTCGGAAACCGTAGGGTGTTTGCTGTATGGCTAACCTTAATGCCAGGGCAGTGGGCAAAGAAAGCCTCCGGGCTTTGGGAATGGTAGAGGGATCCATGGCCGACACATCCCCAGGGAGCTCGAATGGTGAGGGTGCCGCAATCAAACAAGTTGCCAGATCGGTAGCGGTACTTGGCAGCCTCATTGACAATCTACAAAGAGACAGATATGTTAGTTCCATTAAAATTTGTTAGGTGACAGATTTAACCCGACGAATGGCACAGTTTTGATTGCTGCAGCAGGAAAAGATAAGTTCTCTAAGTCCTAAAACGAGGTTGGGATCAACTGCAAAGAGTTGTAAGAGGGCATACCTTTTGAAATTACCCGGATTTCTGCATCAGCTCTAAAATTGATAAAAGGTTACAAAATTTGATATCTTTACATAAGTCACAATAAGACAAACACTGTCTTATTCTGGTTTGTCTTATCTAAGACAAACCGAGGAACACCATCTTTGTGCTTGCGGGAACCATATTGCCCCCAAGGAGCACATGAGTAGCCCACTGGACTGTCCTTATCGTGGCTCACCAGTTATGAGACATTGTGATTTCCTCGGAATGTTGGAAAAGTGATCATCAAAATGTACGCACTTGAATATTATTATTGAGTATCCATCCATTCTCTGGATTGCTTATCCTCACTAGGGTGGTGGTTATGCTAAAGCCTATCGTTATCATGAAGTTAATTATAGAGAGAAATTCATTGGTGACATGATCAGTGTCGTCACATAGGTCAATATCCATCCATTCATCCATTTTCTGATCCGCTTATCCTCACAAGGGTCGCGGGGCATGCTGGAGCCGATCCCTGAACTGGTTGGTGTTGCCAGCCAATCGCAGGGCTCACAGAGCCGAACAACCATCCACGCTCAGACTCACACGTCGGGGCAATTTAAAGTGTTCCGTTAACCTGCCGTGCATGTTTCTGGAATGTGGGAGGAAACCGGAGTACCCGGATAAAAACCTACGCATGCACGGGGGCAACATACAAACTCCACACATCAGGGCCGTAGCCGGAATCAAACCCTGCACCTCTGCACTGTGAGGCTGATGTGCTAACCACTCCTCCACCAGGCCGCCCTAGAGTAATATAAATCAACAACCTAACACGGTGGACAACTTTAAGGTTCAAGGTAATTTGAGAAAATACTGTAGGAGTGTATGGATATTAAACTGCTAGCACTTCACATTTATCAGCATCCGAGAAATGACTCTCAGTTTCAAAAAGGTTGGTGACCCCCTGGCTTCAAACCAGTACCACACAATTATATTTTTCTATTGTTTTTACATTGAACACAACATGAATGTCACACTTCAGGTAAATGTAAATGAAAATAAAAAGATGAATGTTTGAGTTCTGATTTCGGTGAAGATCCGAGCACATTGTATTGCCAATTTATGCAGATATTTCATATTCCAAAGGGTTCACATATTTTCTTTTGCAACTCTACATACGTAATTTGCCAGACAAATGATTTAGCAATGTGATTCATCGGGAGGGAGAAGTAATGGTTAACGGGAACTATTCTCTGAATGACTGATTAATCGATTGGGAGATGGGAGATATATTCTATGTCAACATCGGCCTCAAAAATCATTGATGCATATTTTGTTGTCTGCATCTTTGACAGAGCGAGGCACATTTATCTTCTGGAGGACACACAGTAACATAACATACAATGGTTAAATCTGCCAGAACTAATTTATCTCCCCAAGTGTTGTAGAACATAAAAACATTTGAGGGCTTTTCATAAAACACCCCCACTATGATAAACATACTTAACAGAAGGACCATGTATGACCCACGTAAAAAAAGCACAACTAGGATGTTTCATTATTGTGTTTATGAAGCTAGTAATTATCCATTAACATTTATTCTTAATGTAAAATTAATGCTAGTTCACATTAGGTGGGAAGAGGGATGAGTTACCTATAATAGTTACCTGTATTACAATTACACAAATTAAAAATTCCCCCCAAAATTGTATTTGATAGTGTGTTGGTTCAAAGACCCTATAAAGTAAAAATGTCTTCTAAATATGACAAACCTCAGAAAAAAATGTTAACAACCCTGCCAACTCTTATTACTAAAATTGCCAATTATATAAAATGAGGCTTTAAGACCATGAAAAAAAAAATCTGTGTATCCCTCCACTCTCAAATACTGTGGGGTTGTCCTCTGGCTGAATGCATTGAAACCACGCCCAGCTCATCTGTCAACTGTCAATGAAATAACACTACTAGTCATGGAAAAATGGACAAGGCATAGTCTCGAATCTTTCTTATGTCTAACATAACTAAATGTTTGAGCCACAAAAATATATCTGCTCAAAACCTCTGGTGGCGAGAATCCATCCCATCGGGTCATCAGGTGGCAGCCTGAAGCCCTAGTCCACAAGCCAACTGTCATGTCAGACTTTTTTTTTTTTGCCCTTGCTCTACTTATTTTTCTTCGTGACGTCTGTGCACTCACAGCCGATGAGGTGTTGGAAAGCAGGCATGCCGGCGCGAAGCCCTACTCATAGGCTAGCCGTCAAATTGCATTTTTTTTTAATCTAGCCTCCGCCTCATTCTTCCATCTTTCTCTGTATGATATGCACACGCTCAAGGCCAAAAACAAGGTGTGTTAAAGCAGCAACACCACGAACCTGAAGCCCCAGTCCACACACTGGCTCATGCTCGGCATGACATGCGTGCACTCACAGTGCACAGTGACAATGTTGCGCTCTAAACCAGCCAGACCTGTGAACAACGTAAAGGGAAGTATTTTCGGATTCTTGGAAAAGCTAACTGCACGTTGCAATTGTCGGATAACCCAAATGCAAACAAAGATGCTCCAGAGTTGCCTCACCCCCAACTCATCCGACAATTTGGTAACAAAGTAGGCTGTGTACGGCGTAGAAATGGGGGCATCGTTGTTTTTGTGCCGGGGCAATGGTCTACTTCTGCATGTTTGTGAATTTGGTGCATCTCGCAATTTGGTATCGAAAAGAGTAGACAAAATTTTAGACTAGCTAAAAGGAGGTCTATTGTTCAGCGAAGGTGGTGTAACATGATTTTGGCGTATTTGTTCGAAGCACAGGCAGACAAAGTCGGTGCTCTACAGACAAGTGTGGTGGATATCACGCAATTTCATTCATAAATAAGACACCAGCATGGAACAATCCCTCTGAATAATTGGAGAAATCAATTCATTGAACACATTATAACGATTACCAGTTTAAACATATTTTCATAGCAGCCCCCGTAACTTAACTATTGGTGCGAGGATCCACAAAAGTTTCGTACAGGAGGAAGACGTGTCCAATTGGCCACGTCACTTGCGCGGCCGAGAACATCATCTGCAAAGGGTGACCTTGCAGTTTACCTGCCAATGTCATGCACAGACTCTAGTGAGTCTATGTCGGTTTCCGCATGCGAAGCAAGGCGTACTCAGGTGGACTACACTCCAACTGCCCTAGTGTTAATGCAAATGAGGGATGCCGCCATAATTGACTGGGAAAATTTCGACAACCAAGTACAACATAGTTCTACATCTTTGCACGATTTCCGTAATCATCTTCAAATATGTTAAATGTATTTAGAAATATACAGTACCTTTGAATTCACTCTACGGGTTCCTTAAATGGAACAGAAGGCTCCTGAGTTATCCTCAGAATGTATGCCTTCCTTCAGTATTTATTCATCATTTAATATTGTTACCTGGTCAAAAGCAGGATAGATGTAGTCTGCAAACTGGATCTCAGCAATGGCTGTGGCTCCTGCAACAGCAACACCAATACCAAATCCCACAATCCCCTGCTCACAAAGTGGAGTGTTGAAGACTCGATCCTTCCCTGAGGTGACATTAAGAGAAAAACATGTACATTGGGAACCAGCAAAAAAAAAAAAAAAAAGAGAACACTGGTGGACACATCACTTGGTTTGACCCAAATGGGTCGGTCTCTTTTTGACTCAAATTGGGGGTTTTTTTTTTTTTTTTATCCAACTCTTTTTACAGTGTGCCCTCAGGACTAGTTGCCAGTATAGACAAACAACAAGTCATTCTCAGATTCACCCCATTGGAGAATTTAGAGCAGGGGTGCCCAAACATTTTGGACCGAAAATCAACTTTTCGATCAACCAACCTCCTGCGATCGACCCGTTACCGCGCACACGCACGCACATACACACACACACGCCATGATGAGCAACAGCCTGACACGGAGGTATGCGACGCACTTTTGCAGCCTGCTAACGATCGTAGCTCACACGTACCATTTTAAAGTGCTTCCCTCGGCCCTCTAGATTGCAGACTGCTGAGTGCTCAGAACTACCGGTGACGCAGGTCACGCCCCACCATAGGTTAAAGATTTACCTGTGTTATTTTATTTTTTTAATACTTTTTTGAAAATGAGACTGGTAGGATGATTATGGTGCAGTGTACATTAACACAAAAAAATATATTACTAACATACACGACACACAAATGGTTGTTTGTTTTTTTTCTCCTCTTCACCCCTCGCGATCGACTTGGGACCAGTCTGCGATCTACCGGTCGCTTGCGATCGACGTAATGGGCAGCCCTGATTTAGAGTCTTTAATGAGTACCCAGACAAAATCCACATAAACCCGGTGGGGTACTTTCCAAACTCCACATAGAAAGTTCAGACCTGAGGTTCAAACGCAGAGCTGTGAAGCACTTTTAATCTGAAACATACTGTATTGTCATACCAAAATATTTGTATCACAAAGATATACAATGGACCCCTGCTGTTCAAATGGCATGGACACACACACACACACACACACACACACACACAATATACATACATCATTTATTACATATATGTAATAAATGACTAATAACTATAACAGTGATGGCAATGGCGAGTGATGAAAAAAGCGGAAAGGGGCGTGGCCTGGGCGGGGGCGTGGCCTGGGCGGGGGCGTGGTTACTTACAAAAGTGGCACTAAACATGCTGAAGATGAAGTGTATTGAATTTACACACTATTTGAAACTTGAACAGAAAAAAATCCCAAGATTGCCACTATTCTTTCAAGTGAAAATTTGTGCAATTTTGCTTATGCATTCCTGGTGAGCACCAATATGTAACTCCAAATTTGCTGCTCAAAATCAAAACTAAAAAAGGAAACACATTCCCTGCCATATTTAAGATTTGTTCATGACTTGTATTCATAAAGTGTTGTGTAAATGTGATAAAAAGCTGTTGATTCTTACCTCATACAGTGATAGTGAAGTCCCACACTTTACTATATATGGGTTATGAATGGATTTTATTATATGAAGTGGATGTCTATTTACAGTATATACAACAATATACAGTTTCATGAGGTAGAATACGTTATTTTCTCTTCATTTTAAGCTTTTTAGCAAGCGCTAAAAGCTTATTGGTCCTCTCCATCTTTTTCCACCCTCTTTTTAGCCAACTCCTCTTGTTTTTACACATGACAGACAATGGTTCCTCTTTACTGGTTCCTATTGGGGACACTGTCAGCTTTCTATCCAACCAGTCCCATCGAAACGTGTTTTTCAGATCCGCATCTATCTGACGCACTTTAGCTTCGTCGCGAGTCTCGATAACATTCGGCATTCGCGAGAAAGGGGTTTCGGAAGGCGAATACGGATTGGTTCTGATTTGCATTTGCCGATACAGCGACCAATCACAACAAGTAAGACATCATACACGTCCAATCGCAGGGCTGTTTACAATCGGAAGATGGAAAGACTGATCGGGAGAGCTCGTGAAAACTCGACGATAAGGTACCTGACCCCCCCTAAAATTTTCTCAACGGATTTAGACGATTCACAAAAATGATCAGTTTAAGAAATAAAACGACGGATTTCCGCGTATCCGCGGAAAATTGCCATCACTGTATAATCATGTATAACATCATAAACAATTAGTTGAATTAATGCATCCATAAACACCTTAATTAAGAACACAAATTATTATATCCAGCGATTAAAAAACTAGGTACCATATACGGTACAAATACACTGTTTCTTTATATTCAGTATGTGAATAGATGTAACTACAATTTAAATCGTTACTTGCAATTTAATTTCATTTGACTCTGGCACATAAAATGGCAATTTTATCAATAAAGTACACATGTATTGATAATGTCTTGAAATACACTCCCAAAAACGCAATACAGGCTTTTTGTATGTGGCAAACCTGTTCAGTGATACCAAGAATTAAAAAAAAAAAAAAAATCAGATGAAAAACAGATCCTATTTTTGCCAGCGATTCCATTTTCCCTTTCTCCACCCTGTAATTTAAAATGGAGCCAGAAGAATGTGTCCTCCAAATTTGGATTAAGAATGTTATTTTTGCTTCCTCTTTATTTTTTTTTCTGTGCAATGGCTTAAAATGTCCGACTCACCAGTATTACTCATTAAATTCAATTTGGTAGGAACAGTACAGGTATCACAAAACCAAAAGAAAATTGACTGTGATGACAATGGACTTTTCTGGACATCCCGCAGTGCTATATGTGCCCGGTGATTTCCGTAGTCAAACCTACTTTTTTTTTTTTTTTCTTCTCTAGGTGGTGTGGCAGACCCGTTTTGTTTTCATTGTTTATGACAACGTTAAAAGATCAAATTTTTCACCAGGGCCGAAGATTGTGCTAAGTTTCAATCATAATAATTTCGACAAAAACAGCGGTCACTGCTCCGGCCCTAATAATGACAATAATATGTAGTATAGTCACATATTTAGGTTAGTTACAGCAATAGGTGGAATATTTTTCTGAAACATCATAGCGATATATTATAATGGTTGGTCAAATCTGTATTGCACAACCGTTTATAGGTGAAACAAAAAATGAAAATATCTCTACAACCTGATGTCCTCTGAAAAGAAATGACCTTTCGGCATGCATAAAGCCATCTCTGATTCAAATTTGCTCTTGACCAGTGTAACTAATCGATGATAAGATGATGATAAGGTCTTACTTAGCATGTGCAACATGTGTTTGCAATTCAAGAGCGAGGGTATAGTGAATTGCATGCATGGTTAGCCCTGTTGCCTGGCAGCAAGAAGACTCTGGGTTCAAGGCATAATGTGCAGTAAAAGCATTCCCTCCCTGTGCTCAGCCAAGTTCTCTCCAGTTGCTCTGGCTTCTTCCTACGGTCCCAAACAATATGTTTGGCTAATTGAAAGCTCTCTGTGTGAATGTGTGCCCGCCATGTGATAGACTGGTGATCGGTGGTGACTCATGAGGAATCCTGCCTCAAAGGCTACATTTGTTGCTTTTGGCCAACGTGTAATACTCTTCTGGTTAAGCAATTTGTTAATTTGGATGTACCTGTATGCTCGGGGTCATTGTCATGCTGAAATATGACATTCCTTTTCAGTTTCAGCTGTCTAGCAGACATCTAAAGGATTTGGGCCAAAACTGACTCATACTTGGAACTGTTCATAAGTCACCTCGGCTTGACTGAAGCCCCTGTTTCAGTGTGAGGGTTGTTGTTTTTTTTTTTGGGTGCTCGTCTTCTGTTGCAAAGGAAAAATATCAAAACAGCTTCATTTATTTCATCAGGAATAGTCAATGGATGAATTCATTATCACTGAAAGAAAATGGTGAGTTCCTTTATGCAAGGCGTTAGTCAACGTAAAATCCAAATATTTCTTCAACCTCCTAGAATGGTATATGTTAAACTGCGATGTGAAAAGTTATCTGCCATAATGTTTAACTCTTAGAACTCACAGTTTGTACGCAAGTTAGAAAGATGCAAAGGTGATTCAGTATGTTTTTGGAATCTATGGATGTGCTAGTGATCAGCCAAGTTTCAATCGAAGGTACAGTGCTGCCTTGAGATACGACTTTATTTCTATACTTGATCACACTTGTAGCTTGTAACAAATAGCTCAAATCATTTTTCCCCCACTGAAATGAAAGGAAATACCATTCATTAGTTCCAGACACCCCCCTAAAAAGGGAATGTGTTTTTAATGAGAGGGAAAAATATCTATATCATACTTTCTATAAAAACATTAAGTCATGCCATTAATACATGGAATTAAAAAGAAATCAACAGGTTTGATCACACTTTATCATACACTCCTGCAATGCACCTTGTACTGCTCATTTTGGTGTGCACGCCTTGAGTACGTGGGGGCAATACATGACATGAATACATTGTATTAGAGATTCAGCTCATCTCCTGGCTTCTCAGTTGAGCAATCAATAGTCATTCATTGCAGAGGACACAGATCATGCTTGCGAATAATGTTATTCTGTCTGAATGTGTAACCTGCTGCATGGTTTGCGTTTAGACAGATGCTAATTGTTAGCCTGTGTGCCGCTGCATTTAATGGGGCTTCCAACACACATTTTTGTTACTTTTAGTTTGAGATCTGATAGTGGAAATAAACAGCTTGTTTCTTTTTTGAAGAATATTTACTAATTATATTTGCCAAACTCCTGTTTACAGTGAAGTGAGTTGAGTCACCTGCCGCCATGTAGCACTTGTATCGCAAGTCGAAGCAAAAGCAACCGTCGCTCGATAGCTTGTATCTCAAACAATCTTGTAAGTCAGGTCACTCGTATCTCAAGGCACTCTGTAATTGTACTTTGTTGCAATTCAAGAAGTAGTAAATATTTAATGATATACTCTCATGCCAAATGTATGTCAGAGAAATGAGTAATTTAAATTCCAATTCAACATTTGGTCACCATGGTCAGATAACAATACTGCTTTCTATGAAACATAGCGACATGTCATATGTAGTAGAAGCAGTATATTTGCAGTATACATATACATATATAAATATTAAAATTTTTTTTTCCTTTTTGGGGGGGCTGGGGGGTGAGAAGGGGTGATCCAAAAAGGCGGTGGTGGGGAGCCGAGATGACAACATCATAAAAGCCATTCATATAGTGCGCGCCCTGCATTAACCTCTTTCCTGTGTACTTGCTGCAGGTGGGAGAGGTGTGCTTCTTCCCTTTCAGTAGTGAGAGGGATAAAAACAGCTTTGTGCTCGTCACTGTACACAAGGATGAGATGGAAAATAATGATCACTCTCCAAAAGGTCAACATTTCTGACGTCAATGAAAACAAAGGCAAAGCCAGCCACTGTGCAATTGATTTGAGACTCCACGTTATCAAAAAAACAAAACAAAACCAAAACCAAGGCAAACGCACCAAAATCAGCTGAAAATAGGTGGAAGACAGTTGAGTATGGTTTGAGATTGTCATTACGTAAGAGAATAGCATAAATCAGCAGAAGTGTTGCTATTTGGAGATGAGATTTGAGTTTTGGATTTAAAGAACAGAGAAGAAAAAAAGACCAAAAAAAAAAAAACAATTTTAGCTAAAAATGTATAGAAAAGAAACACCCATGAGGTATACCGTCGTGCATGTGATCCTTTATGACGCTACTGCTGCCGTGTTATAAGTTCTTGCTGTTTATGCAGTCAGAGCTGAAAGGGATCCACCATACTACTTCAATGGGTTTCTTGATAAAAGAACAACATAAGGAAAAAGAAACATACTTAACTGCAATTTTACAATTGTTAGTGTCTAATACCATATTTAAAAGTGTTTGTATCATATAGGATAAACACAACCAAATTCCAAAAAGCACCTGTTTAAGTGATGCACATAGAATTCAGAGGGCACAGGCGACTGGACATTTGAGCTGAGCTGAACTGAGCCCTTCATGGAACATCTACAGGCGCTATACTCACTGTTGATTGACAGACCTCAAGCTTGTTTCAACAGTTGCTGTAGAAACGTGCAATGCAACAGTCAAGTGACAACTCCAGTCACAGGCTTGGCAATTGCTTCTTCTTCTCTGCTCATCTGTCCTGTCCCTTAAGCACCTTCAAATGCACACATGTGGACAAATACTACATACCAGAACTAGATAACTGGTATGGATATATCACACTGGCATTCATTTTTTGGTTCCTGGTTATACATGCACCCTCTGCCTCATTGTCATTATTCTACAGCGCTTAATGCCCAATATACTGTACGTCGGAATACAAATACTGAATCAAAAATTACACAGTACCGCAGACCTTTCTCACAACTGACATTAAACTGATAGGAGCTGGGACACACATAAGAGGACCATGCAAGTCGTGATAACCATTGTAGTTTTGAAGATGTAATTGAAAGCCTGATGCTGTGGCAATTAATGTGGTTAAGCATATTACTTCAGTCATTGCTAAAACTGATTATAGCTGCATTACTTCGACATAACAGTTACAAGCGGTACAGTAATCAAAATGTATTAAGGAGTCGCCAGGATGTGTAAGCACAGATAATGTCATGAATACAAGCAGAAACTTTAATACCACATAGAAAAAATGATCAGGTACATATCTATACCAAGGACTAAATTGTTATTGTTCATCAAGAATAATCACATATTAGCTTTCTTAGGCTACAATGATGAACTATTTGCAAAAGGGTCCTTTTGGTCCTCTAGGTGAACAGTGAACTCTTACTGGAGCTGCAGAAAGTTAGGTTGTTGGGGTTTCAAATACTCTGCCGCCACCTTATGGTAAAGTAATACAAGGCAGAGGAAAAAAAGCAGCTTGATTTTAAAATTTACACAATGAAGAATTGGATGGATATTGACCAGGTTTCAACTCACCATATTTGTCTCTCAGACCCACTGTGCATCGAAACACCCCACCAAAGGCCACATCTTCTCCAAAGATGACTGCAAATACACAGCGCACAGTTAAACTTTCCTCACGATCATGGGTAAAAAAACAGTGAACGGTCTTATAAAAATCTGATTACATTGCCAAAGAGAAATGGACCCAGATTTATCGAAAAGGAGAAGTTAAGAAAACCTTAAATTTAATGACAAAGGCATAATGTGATGCTTTTGAAATAAGTTTCACACACAAAAAAACAGCAGAGGAAGAAAAATGAAACAAGCAATTTCTGAACCAGTACATTTGAACTTTTGTTCAACTGTTCTTCTTCAGCTAGTAGTTTCTAAACAATTTTGACACTAACTCAAACATTTGATGATTCTAAGAATCACAAGCACAGTCAGAATTGAGATGGCTACTCTTAGAAATGCTGAGTGCCGTACTTGATGAGAAATGTACACACACCTTCTACATGAGTATTTGCACACTATGAGAGTGAATGTTAATATACTCCGACAGTATTTAGCTCACATCTGACAAGCTGTGCCATTATTTGGAATTTCACTGCAAGTGTCTTTGAAGTTACTCCCACGAAACATGTTGCTATGGATATTAAACGTTATTATTGCTGTCAAGTGATAAAAAAAATTGTGTGATTAATTAGGGTCTGTAATTAATTTATCTAATTAATCTATATTTTAATTTCATCTAAAAATTACTGACAAAACCCCTATTTTCATTTTAAATTTGTTACATTATTGAGACAGATCAAAAGATAAAAGAAAACGTGGCATTACAAAGTATTTTATTGTTTTTCAGCAGACTTGGACAGATGCAATCCTAGCCATTTAGTTTCTGCTGTATTTGAGACTAGTCAAAGTCCCACCTGCAACCTTTAGTTTCGACCACAAGGGGGAATATCACTGTTTTGTTTGTTTTTGTAAATCTCCAAAGAATTACAAAATAAAAATAAAATAGAACATCAGGTACTTAAAAAGTGCTTACGTTGACATATCAAAAACAGTAAGAACAATTTTCTGAGCAATACAAGTTCTCAACACTGAACTTGCTTCAGATAATAATAAATAAAACAGACCCTTAAATCACAGTGCTGTAAGTTAGCACTTCAGAAATAACACTGTTCATCATGACGAACTGAAAGTGCTGAAATAAACATCAATCACTTCTAGTACTCTACAGAGGACAGATCAACTAACTATGTCTCATACGTGGGGTGTTCTCGAGTTTAGTTTGCCAAAGAGCTTTGCTATGTATAGCTCGCTCGCTATATTGCTAACGCTTTTGGTGCTAACGTTAGCCGTGGCTGCTCTCGCGACTGGGTGCTTTGCATTGATGTGGGAGGCTAAATTTGAGCTGCTTCGGTGGTATGCAAACTCCTTTCAAATGAGGCACAACACTCTACCTTAACAGTTATGTCGTCAGGGTGTTTTTGGAATGTAAATTTTCCATTCATTGTACCGAGAACTCTTACATCCTGCTCCATTTTCACCTCTCCAGTAGTGATGTGTCGTTCGCGAACGAGCCGGCTCTTAGAGCCGGCTCTTTGAAGTGAACGACATGAGCCGGCTCCTAAGAGGGAGCCGCTTTAATGGGAGCCGACTTTTTTATTCCTCCTGTTTTTTCCCCCTTTCGGTTAAAGCCGCACGTGATTGGTCAAGATCCGTGGTAGAAGAGGGAGGAGAGGGTTACACACACGCACACGCACACGCACACGCACACGAATTTGGACTGATTTCAACTTAATTGATAGTTCAAAGGCAGCGTGTAGACTGTGCAAGGTTAAAATGTCCAATATCAAATATTAATTTATCATTTGTTGTTTGGTAATCAAAGCTTACTTATGTTGTTTTAATGTAAATATTTAAACACTTATAAATATGCACAATCAGAGATTGGAACTTTTTGTTGACCTTTTTTTGAGATGGGTCTTTGTTTTTGTACTTTGTAATTTATTTTTTTGTAGCACTCCATGTTGTACGCCATGTTGAGTATGTTCAGAAGAATATAAATAAAGCCATATAAATAATAAATATTTGATATACTGTATATTTTTTACATTCGTAATTCATTTTACACATAATTTTACATTATTTTTGGTATTAAATTAATTTAAGCAACAAAAAAACTGAGGAGCCATTTGGGAGCCGAAAGAGCCGGCTCTTTTTAGTGAGCCGAGCCAAAAGAACCGGCTCTCTAAAAAGAGCCGGAATTCCCATCACTACTCTCTACTCCTCACCGGTGTTTACTCAGCCCGCCCGACTCCAATGGGAGCCTATCAGCTTCTGCTAAACAAGCCCCAACATAATGGCAGGCAATCAATGTCCACTTCAGGCTGATGTGTGTCTCTGTGCATGTTAGTAACATATATTTTGTGTTAATGCACACCGCACCCTCATCATTCTATCAGTCTCACTTTCACAAAAAAGTATTTGAAAAAGAAAATAAAATAAAGCAGGTAATCTTTAACCTACGGTGACGTGTGACTGCGTCACCGGAAGTTGTTAGCGCTCAGCAGTCTGCAGTTGCAGCTTGTGATCAGAGTTGTTGCGCTATATCTTTTATCGTTGTCATTATTCTCTTTCAGAGTTTGTTTTGTACAATCACACCGAGGGGACGGGCAAAGAAAGGGAATCTGGAGGGCCGAGAGAAGCATTTTAAAATGGTACGCGTGAGCAACGATCGTTAACAGGCTGCCTAAGTGCATTGCATGCCTCAGCGTCAGACTATTGCTCATCATGGCATGCGTGTGTATGTGTGTGCGTGCGTATGCGCGCGTGAGCGGTAACGGGTCGATCAGGTGGGGGTTAGGCGGAGAAAAAAAATAGTGTGTTTCCGGTAACGCGACCGACCGAGAATTTCTATGTCGAAAATGCAGACCGTAAAGTTTTTTTTTTTCTCAAACAAACCTCTACATTTTTGTGTAGAGGGTTTACATCGGTGCAAACTCTCGCGATATTCATGTTGAGCGCGTGCGTCGTTTGCCCTGTCGTCTGTCAACAACATTAAATCATGGCGGCAGCCGCGATCTCCGGCGACAGTTTAAACCACGTTTTCTGTGTTACAGTCGCATTCTCGCACCGTAATGTTAAGAAAATAGCATCCATTGATGTATCGAAAAAATTCAGCGAACTATTTGATGAACACCATGGGCCGAGTATAAACCACGTGAAAATAGCACAGTGTCAATGTGCCAATGGGTGAATTCTATGATATTGATGATATGGATATGTCAGTGTTTCAAGTTTTAAATACTTTACCTGACCTAAGATCGATTCGATTTAGATGTATAGAAAAAACACAAACAGTGGCAAAAACAGAAAGTGTAGACGTATTCGATGTCATGATGAAAGCAGCACGTTCAGAAAAGGAGAAAAACAAAGAATTTCAGAAGAAAACTCCAACGTAGGTGGGTCTAGGCCAGTGGTTCTCAAATAGTGGGGCGCGCCCCCCTGGGGGAGCGCGATGCTCCATCAGGGGGTGTGCGTTTGGCCTCGGGGAACATGCTTTTTTATTTTGTTTTTTTTTTTAACTGTCCTAGAATAAAGTGCAATTGCACCTCGACTACATTAGGGGACAGTGGCGCTCAACTTGGCAGAGTGCGCAGGGAGCATTCGTTCGGTGTTTTGTTCGGTGTTTTGTTCGCACTGAGCATGCGCTTTGCACACGGCACAGAGTATGAGTATGAAGTGTAGACACGAAGTCGACAGACGGAGAGCGAGAGACGAAGAAAAGAGGTCTACCGAAAGCGAAGATGAGTAAATATGACGAAGCGTATGTAGCGCTTGGCTTCACTGTGACTACGGTGGGAGGAAAGACATCGGAGAGCATGAAGCCAAATGAATTAAGGCGTCACTTAAAGACATTACACCCCAATCTCGTTGATAAGAGTTTTTTTTTCAGAGAAAACGTGCCGAATATTGCCAACAATCATCCCGTTTTGTGACTGCTACTTGTAGC